GGGTTTAAGAGGCGTTTAACTTTTGTAACACCCGCCTTGTGCCATGACTCATAAAATATTTGCTTAGTTGCGATTTTTATTTCATGGTTGTCCCATATTATAGCATCGTATGGATCTGTTTTTTCTTGATCTATTTCAGCTTTGATTTTTTTTTTATCATTTCCCAACAATTTAGAATTGCTGAATAGAAACAAGAAATGCTGTTTGAATTGAGTTCTTTGGTTTTATAACTGCATGATAATAAGAACTTAAAACCGCCTAGGTGTCGAGTCATGCAATTTGGGATGATTTTCCACGGCGCATCCACTTCTGTATTTCTATATTAAAAATCTTCTCACCCATGAAGCTTTCAAGGCTTTATTCATCGACTCAAACTCACTCATTTTTAACCCACCTACATTCCTGTCTCCAATTAATGTATTTGTTTTAATTTTATGTGGTTTGCTATCCCATATAAAATCCAATGTGGTTTTATCAACCCTTTTGCTGAAACTTTCAGGTAATGATAAAACCTTTTCGAAAAATTCGACCTGTTGAGGAATGTAGTTTGGGGCGTAAAGGTTCATTAGCACTAAGTTTACGCCATTCATTTTTGTATCAAGAACAATTAATCTTCCATGGTTGTCTTTCTCGAATTTTATCACATCGATGTCCGCATATTTTGGGTTCGGTAAAATCATGACACCTTTGCTGTATTTGTTCCATGACTACAGAAAATCTTTCCACCCCACTCTGCTTCCCACGAAGCTTTTGTTTTTTCATCACTGTAGGTTTCTTGCAGAAAATAGAAATGTGCTTTTTGGTTGTGTAGCCATCTGAAAATTGACCGCCTTTTAGTGGACCTGTTTAAACCTCTAACATTAAGGGTGATAATTTTGATTTGAAATGTGATTAAGTCATTCATAGTAAAAATTAATTTCAAAGTCCCTCTTGTATTCTATATTATTCTTTTTATCATTTTTTGAAGAGGTGTGAGAACACTTGATCTTTGCATGTGAGTGTTGGGCATAATACATTTTATCTCTTTAAATATACTAACTTCATGCCAAATATGTAGCGTTGTAGCATTGTACGAAACAAATTAAAATGATGAACAGCATGAAAAATTTAATTGAAACGATGAATAACAATACTAACAGAAAAATATTTTGGCTGACTAAACATAGAATTAAGGTCCATTTTGACCTGATCATGCTAAATCTCTCTCAAAGAAAAAGGAAGAGAGAGCAGTTCACTGAGACAATCACTTTCCCACCCCTCTCCCCCCCCCCCCCCCCAAAAAAAATATTCCCCAGAAATTAATATTCGCGTTGCGTTTTATAGAGCAACCCCAATTGCCTTGTCCGCTTCAAAGGTACTAACCTCAAGTATCGTTAAGATAAGCTTACTCTAATAGTTCTTTGGGTACATTCTTACTTGTATAGCTCGCACTTCCAATTTTCAGAGTTCTTCCGATAACCATCGCTTGTGTGCCGCTTGCTTGGGCTTTTAGCATCGCTTTGATGAGAACGGCTCTCTCGTCTTGGATTTCGCTCGGGTAATCCAAGGTTATGTATGCATCTGGAAAGTGAATAGATTCTTTTAATAGATTCCTCTTTCGAAAGACAACCTCCTTGTCTTCCCTGCGCACGAATCTCACAATGATCGGACTAGGTCTACCTTGAATGGATTTTCCCATCCTGTGTACAGCACTACAACGCATTTGACTTATTTCTATGTCCGTTTCTTTGGTCATGATGTCGAAGATCAGCTCTCTGCAGTTCTCGCTTGGGCGTTCGGGAACGTTCCTGAATATTAAGTTTTCTTTTCGCGAGTACTCTTCCAGATGAAAACCTCTTCTTTTTCCTTCTTTAATTCTGCTCGTAGCGTAACAATTTCCTTAGCCTGAGAGGCCAGTGACAAGCGACAACGACTTGTTGCTCTCCTCGAGAGATTCGATTTTGGACGAAGACGTTTGTGCGGTCATTTCTAATTCAGACACAGTGTTTCTCAACACTTGGACTTCGGCCTTTAAATCCTGCTTGAAAATTCCCATTTCTTCTCTAAGCCTCTTGAAGTTGTTGTCCATCTTTTCTCCGAGGGAACTAAGAGTATCCATGATAGCATTTAGAGTTACCGGCGAAAGAGTGTTGTCGTCTGATGTATCCATGTTCGCACTATTTACACGTGGAAGCTTCGCGTTGACGGTTTGTGGAGCTTTAGGGCTGCTGAATCTCTTTTTTCTCTTCTTGTTTCCCATGTACCATGTTAACTGTCTACGCTAACCGAGAAACAAGAAACTCTTCGAGCCAAAAACTGTTTCAAGAGGAGGGAAATACGGGCTAAGGACGGAGCTCTAAAA